GTTATGTGTATATGTGTTTTATTAATTATAAATAATTTTATTTTTAATATATATATATATATATTTGTATATATATGTGAATTTATATGTATATATTAATTTAAATACATGTAGATGAATATTTGGATATTTAATAATACTTTTGAATGCTGAGTTAACAGTTTTTTGCTGAGTCAACAGTTTTTTTTGTTGAGTCAGTAGTTTTTTGCTGAGTCAGCAGTTGCGTTTGTTTGATTTGGAAAAAATTTAAAAGTTTGGGTATTTATGTGGGAGTTTTGAAAAGTTTAGGTATTTATATGACAATTTTATAGTTCGGATATTTATTTAGGATTTTTGTAAAAGTTCGGGTATTTTTATGGGATTACCCTATTATTAATGTAAGAATAATATTGAATTTTTCAGTAAATATATTATTAACGTGCATCAAAATATGAAAATGAAAAAATGCTATGGAATTTGATATCTTGAATTTTTTTAATAAAATAATATGTTCTTTTTTTTTGTTGAATGTGATTGTATTACTATCAATTAAATTGTTTACAAAATGTTTACATATCTGTTATTCGACAGAAGACAAAATAATATAGTGGAATTCCCATGCAACAAAAAAATCCAAACTCTAATCGGTTACATCAAACTATCATTATTATGTATATACAATATTTTTTTCTCCCATGTTTTCATAATATGATGAACTGAACACATCTATATAACATTTCATCAAAGAGTATTGTATTGGTACGTATATAAATTATTTTAAATGTTTTCCACCTCAGATATTTGTTATATAGAGTCAATAACTTTTTAAATCCTTAAAATGTTAAAGTTATTTTTAAAAATGCTGTAACTAGATCTATTACAATATAATTGATGTAGAATACTTTCCCTTACATAAAAATTCCTAAGGATATATACAAACATACATAGGATAATGTTTGATTTAAGTATGATATAGATATGTTTTATATCAATGATTTACTATCCTATTCATTTTTTTTTCAAAAAATATATCTACAACCACAAAATATCAATCGTGGTTAATTTTAAAATAAATATATTTTTAGTAAATTTTGAATTAAGGTGTGGTTTATGAATTCGGACGAACGATAAACAATGCATTATGTTTATATTTAAAGTCATTTTTCTTACAAAGGTCTTTTTTATTTTGATATGATATATCGGTTATTGTTTAAAAAAGGTAGTAACAGAAGGGTACCTAAACTATTTCTTTCGAACCTATATGATAACACTTATTTAAATTCAATTAATCGTTTTAATATTGCATTTTTTACAATATAATATATTTTTGGTAAAGCATTTTCAATTAATGTTACAAAAAATTCAGTATCAAATAAGCGAAAAGGTATTCATTAAGCTATTTGACCAATATCCAAAAAATAAATAAAAAAACTAAAAAAAAATGATTGGTACCTGAGGCGCGTGCGATAGCTATCACATCTTGTTGAACTTTTTTTTTTCCTATATAAAGGTCTCACGAGCCCAAAACTTTTCACGCTTCTTATCCATATCGATTTTGTACGAATTTCAAGCAGAACACAAAATCAAATCTTTCCCAAGGATTTTTGTCTTCAACTTCGATCTGAATTCTGGGTTCATCGAAAATTGGGGAAAAAATGACTGGATTCTCTGTGTCTTTGTTCGTCTCCAACTTCTCGAATGTTGCCTCGTACCTGTCTCCGCTCTTCGATAGCATCCCTTCGAAGGGGATTCCATCGCAGATCGATAACGTTGTTACTTTGGTCTCTAGGACCGGTAGGGATTTGCAGCGTTACGACAGCAAGGGATTTCGCCAGGTTGTCGGGTACGTCTAAATATGTCTTCTCTTCATGTTTCGTGAACCCTAGTTTGTGCAATCTGTTCGCAGTGGTTTAGGTTTTGGGGATTGTGTTTTCTCTTTGTCCAGTACGGAAATAATGTTGTCTAGGGTTTGAGAATCGTTGAGGAAATGGCAAACATTTCGCAGTATTGCATCAAAATCTTAAATGATCTGGATTACTTAATTGGGGACTATTTTCGGTTTGAATGTCTGGTTTTAGGGTCCTTTTTCTGGAATCTCATGAAATTTGGTGTCTGGTTTTGCAGATGCATACCGTACAGATACAAGAAACGGAACGTTGATGGAAATGATATTGAAGAAATCGAAGTTCTTCTTATCAGTGCACAAAAGGGCAAAGGGATGCTGTTTCCAAAGGTATTGACTTCGCCTGAAAAACATTGGTTTTCTTTCCTTAGACTTTATATTGCCTTTTGTCCGGGTTTGCTTCTCTTTTGTGTATTTCATCCTTGCCCTTATGTCCGTTTACTGAAATTTTGGATCGTCTTGTTGCAACAGGGAGGTTGGGAGATGGATGAATCAATAGAAGAGGCGGCTTTAAGGGAGACAATAGAAGAAGCGGGTGTAACCGGACAACTCGAGGTTAGTATCTCACTCACATCTTTTAGGGTTCTGAGTCTTGCTCTGACATTTCGTGGGTGGGTTCACTAAGAAATCTGAATTCGGGTTTGTTCTGCTCTAAAATTGAATTTGATCAGATAAACTGGAAACCGAGTGTTTTAGCTTTAAGGTGGGGGTTTCAGAGGAGCGTTAATTTATAGACTGATCCTGAAGGAACAGTTGTGTGCGTGTGTGTATAATAAACTTGGTCTGGATTGTGTTAACTTACATGAAGCAAACAATATTGCAGGAGAAACTAGGGAAATGGCAGTACAAAAGCAAAAGGCACAGCATGGTTCATGAAGGATACATGTTCCCTTTGCTTGTTAGTCAGCAATTTGAGCACTGGCCTGAGGCAGAAATCAGACAACGCAAGTGGATGAATTTGTCTGAAGCAAGAGAAGTATGCCATAATTGGTGGATGAGAGAAGCCCTCGAAGAATTCATCAACCGGAAATGTCATCCCGAGCTCCAAATAGAAGACGCCGTTACTCAGCAAACTCAGCAGATCTTCTAAACTAGGGCATGGAGAGGAATAGGACTCAGTTACTGCTTGTTGTGAAGAATGGCGGAAGAAATGATATGACTCGCTGAAACCCTAAACCGTAAACCCTAAAGACTGTCTTACCCGAAGATGTAGCCACGAAATCCGAAGCTTCCTGTGAATTTCTCGGCGGGAGGAAAGGAAGAGGGATGCAGCAGAGAAGCGTCAAAGGGCTTTCTGGCTGTATAGTTTTGAAGAAAGAGGTCAACTTTAGTGTTTAGGCATATGATGTTTTGATTCATTCTTTGACTCATTCATTCATTCATTCATTCTTTGATTAGTGAAATGAATAGGAATAATCACTAATTCGGAATTGCTGGCATCTTATCATGTTTCTTCATTTGTAGATTTCTTAAAATAAAGATATAAAATTTTAATTTTATAAAAAAATATACAAATTTTGAAAATTCTGGAAAAATTCTACGACATTAAAAATCTAACGTGGAATTGAAAAAGGGAAAAAAATAAAAAACTAATTATAAATACGCTTAAAAAATAAAAATAAAAATAAGTATAATAATAATAAATAAATAAAATAAATATAAAAATTAAATATTAATTATACATATATTTTTTTAAAATTTTATTATACACATACATTTATTTATTTTTATTTTTAAAATATATATACATACAATATACACATATACATAATATACATATATATATATATATATATATGTATATGCATGTATATTTGTCAAAAATTGCAAAGGTTTGTATGATTTGAGGTAATAATTCCGTCAGTTTTATCATAAAGTTAGGGTTTGCGTGGGTTTTTCTCAAAAATGGTAAAGTTTGTATATTTATTTATAAAATTAAAAGTTTATATGTTTATTTGCGAATTTTAAAAAGTTCAGTTTTTTTCACTATCCCATTTTTTAATGAGTTTATTTATACGATCCTTTGATTTGAATTGACTTTCTGATTCAGATTATTACTTGATTTGTTTTATTTGGTCATTTTTTTATGGCAGTAAAAAATAGCTCCAGTCCTTGGTGGAGCTATTTTAACCCGTATCCACTTAATGATTATAAATCAAAATTTTAAAAAATGGGCGAAAATTAATCACATTGATTAAATATAAAATTAGTAATAACAAGTTTTAAAAATGATACAATATATTTTCTTGGCAAAAGTTTATATATTCCATTTATATAAATGAATAGTACAAAAAGTGATGAGCAATAACTAACCACGCCCTAGTTAAATTGATTGATGTAAAAACTAATTATTTATATTTTTTTAAATTAACTTAAATGAAATTGAATATAAAAATTAATTAAACCATTTTTTAATAAAACCAATCATAAAAAATATATAAAAGTTAATTTAGTATTATTATAAAAAATAAAACTAGAAACAAAATATAACTAAAAAATGTTCAGCTAATGCTTAATCTTGTCTAAATTCAAATTCCATGCAAATTCATAATTACATTATATGACAATTTTGCCCTCAACAAGCCCTACGTATCTCCTGTGGATTTTGTATTCTTAAATTTTGAGGAGGAAGTGGAAAGAAGAAAAGAAAAAAACAGTGGTGATGGCGGCAGTGATTTCTGTCATAGTCATCGTCCCGTTGAGCTCGAGCGCCGCCATTTCCGAAACTCGCCAGACCAGAACTAACTTCTCCGTCGCTTCCATTTCTTCATTTTCCTCTTCCCGGTTTTGGTTCGGACAAATCGTTGCAGGAGCCGGTTCCCGCACCGCGAATTTTGGTCACTGCCTCCGTCGCGGCGACGGAGATGGTGGTGGCAGCCGCAGTGGCGCTGTTGGTGGGTTTATGGTCTCGGGATGTCTCCCTCTGGATTGTCCTTCTTCTTCGTCCGCTTATCCGAGGCCGAAGACGAAACTCTACGTCAGTGGTGAGTTCTCTTCAAATGTTTGGGTTTTTGTTTAATTAGATTCTGATTCCGTGTGTTTCTTTGTTTTCTGGAGTTGATGGTGTGCTGAAGTGCTTCGAATTCTGAATTTCTGTGCTCGATGCGAACAAAATACCCTTTCAGAGTCTGGGTTTCGGGTTTTAGGGTTTTGTTCTTGAGAGATCAGGATTTGCAATTTGTGTTGTAACAGGCTCACGGAGATGATCAGCTACAATTTGTTTAGCGAGACAACTTCACTAGTTGTCTGTATGATGTTTTGTGATGCAAGGACCTCTTGAGGGCAACAACTATGTTGGTAGATGTTTCTGTGTGGTTTTTTGTGCTGTTCCATTTTTCTCTTTCATTGGACACAGGTTGCCTAAGTTTAATAACCATTCCAGACGGAATTTTGCGGAGAAAAAGCTTGCAAATCGAACTATGATTGATCAAACTCATTCTGCGGCACCAAACTGTCACCGGTTGTTGTTAGCCGTGCAGATGTACACGGGAAGAGTGTAGAATTGAATTAAACATGAACCATAGGATCAAGAGATGACTGAGTGAGAGTGAGAAACTTGTTTGTGTTAGCTGACCATTTCAATGTGATCTCTTGATGGCTCATGGCAGTTAACTAATGAGATTAGCTAGAGTACCAAAACTCAAGAGTAGAAACAGTTGGAAACTGAAATCATATAAACAAAGGTAAACACATTTTTTCGAAGAGGTTAACATGTTTTTAGTTTTTGTGTAGTATGCAGAAACTGTGGTTTTAGATGGATTATATTTGTACAAGAGGATTTGTTGGCCCGCTCATTTTCTTCACCTATAAGAGCTAGTCTTGAAAATTCAACTGAGCAACTCCAGTGAGAAATATCTTTCTGCTTTCGGACTGGATGCTCCCTGTACGCTGGTTAAAAAAGGATGGGAACCGGAGAGTGCGGCATACCCTTCTTAGCTTTTTTTTGTTTCCAAGTGAGGAACTTGGAGTTTTATTAGATTGCTCAAGGGTCTCACTTCTCTTCTGACATGGATTCTCATTTGTTTTTCCCAGGGCTTTCTTTCCGTACAACCGAAGAGAGCTTACGGAAAGCTTTTGAACAGTTTGGTGATCTGGTAGATGGTAAGAATCAGCTCCTATATTCATTCCACCTGGGCAAATTCAATAAGTACTTCAGTAAGATTAGTTGGTTCATTTCTTGCGTCTTGTTTTGAAGTCAATTTGGTGATGGATAAGTTGGCTAATAGACCGAGAGGATTTGCTTTCCTGCGGTATGCAACAGAGGAGGAATCTAAGAAAGCTATCGAAGGAATGCATGGGAAGGTACTGATGCAATTTCTAGTGTTCTGAATTATGATCTTCATTTAGAAACATCAAGATCATTACTGGCTAGAATCAAGATAAAGCTGATGCTTCAGCTATTTGCGATTGAATACCAAAATATCTTTCTGGGTTTCAGTTCTTGGACGGCAGAGTGATATTCGTGGAAGAAGCGAAACCAAGATCAGAAATTCGCAAAGCTCAAGTGAAAACCGGTACATTTCCCACAAGCAGACCTTCCAGTTATTTGTAAGGCTTTTTTAACACAGTTGGAATTGTGTATATCTGTAGTGTAAAGCCATGACAAAGAGATCCATGAAACGGACGGACAGATTCTGTCCTCATGTTTCATTATTTCCGAGATCTGTTTCGGCACTGTCGCGAACATCTAACTTTGGATCTTGCGGCCAAAACCACATGGTGGTTATGGCAAAGCGACTCGTGGGCATGCGCATGGCCATAGTATTCCATTAGTCTTTGTATTTGTTATATGCACAATCTACAATACTTTAAATTTGTTTGTCATAAGGCTGGATTTCTTGGGATATTCCAACACATATTCCCGAACTTGGTTTTGGTATATCCAATTTGGGTCTTGTTAGGCTCCGGCAGTATACCGGACTTGGATATATGAATTAACGTTCAACAGATTAATGGATATAAATTATGTTAGTCTCTTAACCTTTCAAAGTGTTTTTCAATGTAACAACTCTTCCCTCTTGAATCCAAGAAAGAACTATCAAGAAACTCTCAGTTTTGTCTGAAAAAACAGAGAAAACGAGTACAAGTCCGAACAACAATGCTTACATTGTTACATAAGACGCATACAAAGGAAAACTGAAACAATTTCAAAAACAATCAATGCATGTTTTTATAGAGCAAAACAAATAATTGAACAATAGTTACAAAACGAATATGATTACAGCATTCTAACCCTAAAATAATACATGTTTTAAGGAGTCAAATTTGCAAGTTACAAAATAACCATAAAATCTTGTCTATTAAAACCCCTACGACAAATGACTCATTCAACGTTTTCTGATTGTTTCCTTGCTTCTTCAACTTTTTCTTCTACTGCATTCAACTTCTTCATTTTTCTTTCTTGTAATCCTTCAAATCTTCATCAAATGTTCTTGAGTCAATTCACAACCCCCCTCCTTCACACGTGAACTCATACGCGTCACATACCTTAGCCTTCAAACTCCTGTGCAAATATTCTCTCGCTTTAACAATCGATATAACAATCTCATTTTTCTAGTGTGTATAATTGCCCCATCTAGAGTTCATAACTGTCTTTTCCGAGTGCACATTTGTTCCTTTTCGAGTACACAACTTTCCGAGTTTACCTTATTGAGGTATAGTCCCACACAACTCACAACAATCTTCGATGCTATTGGAATCATCGCCTTTGTTGTCGCGACTCTCCTTCGGTTCATTATTCAACCATCTTTCTTTCAAACGCAAATGCATTTGACTATTCTGAAAAAAACAGCCTTCACGAAAATATCTTACCAAACCAAACTCCGGTCATGTTGTTCTTCTTATTGGCATCATCTTGTTCTTTTGCAACAGCCTCTGCACTTATTCTTCTTCATCCATAGATCCCAAGGTTAGAGGACGATAAATCAAAACAAGTTTGACGTGCCAAATCTACCACTGATCGAAAGAAACTCTCCCTTGAAAGTATTTTATCATTCGCAAGCATTAGTTTCATCATCAAAGTATTGGGATTCAAGGTGATTTAGTCTGACCTGTTAATTATTCACTCGTGTGTTTAATTTTTTTTTTGGTAAAGGTAAATTTTTATATAAAAACAAGATACAAAAATATTTGTTTTACAACATTCGCCCAACAACGTGTCGTTACGTGTTACCTAGAACCAATCCTCCAATAACGTGTCGTTACGTAGTGTACTTCAGTCCTGCAAGGCAAGAATATAATTTCTCACGTCCAGTCGATCTTTGCAAGTAGCTCTTCCATTGTGTTTTGATGCTTGTCGGAATAATATGTAATTTCTCTCTCTCCATATTTCTAACAAGCGACCTGCAAAACAAGTGATTCGTGTTATGTGCATGTTGTCGGTAAAAGTAGGCACTTGAAGCTGTTGTGAAGAGAGTATTTGACAACACGACATTGACTTCTCAGACGTGGTTGGTCCAACCAAAAAATTAAGCTTTTATGGTTTTCCAAGCAACTACTTTTGGACATCCACTTTGATCTTATAATGCAAATAAAATACCAAAGATCCTTACGTAACAAATTTCTAATCTACAATTACGAAACTACTCACACAACACATAAAGACGATAGAGTTCAAATCTAGGAAAGAAAATATAGTAAACATGGTAAAGAAGAAACTCTCAATTGATTTCTCGACATCGTGTTTTTCGTTTCCCATCTCCAATATTTTTCCCTTCGATTCTCGTTTCCTTACTCCAAAGTTGCTCACAAAAAATTGATCCTAGAAAAATTTCAGAATGTCCTCGAGGGTTGTCGGCGGTGCCCATATACTGGCTCATCCTCTGTAGCGAAAATAGGAAAGTTTTTGCAAGTTTGTCCATCGATTGTGTAACGACTCACGACTGCTACGAAATATCGAAACTGTCCTCACATAACAACACGGGACCTTCCAACATGTTTTGTTCTCACTCACACGCATACCAGACACTTTCCAATAGGTCACCCATCCTGAAATTGATCTAGAGTCAACACGCTTAAATTTGGAATTCTCTTGGGATAGTCAACCGAAAAGATAAGTGTAAGTGCACCTTATTGCTATGAGTAACCCAACTAATTCTTTTTGTTCTATCTCAAACCAAAACCATATAGTCTCATCCCTACATAGCCTTCGGATCTCTCTCATTCGGGTGCGTTCGATTCATTCATGTATCCCTTTGCCTTTAGTGGTACTCGGAGAGTCGCACCTTGATCATGTCAACACACCGGCGAACACTCTCAACCCTCATCGTAGCTCGGGATATCATAGGTCCACTAGCTTCCGCCTGGTTCTCCTCGAACCACACCGTACTGGGGGAGTACGGACTCTGATATCATCTGTAACGACCTGCGACCGCTACAAAATATCGAAACTGCTCTCACACAACAACACGGGATCTTCCAACGTGTTTTGTCCTCACTCGCACGTATATCGGGATATTTTCCGGTAGGTCATCCATCCTGAAATTGCTCCAGAGTCAGCACGCTTAATTTTGGAGTTCTCTCGGGATAGTCAACCGAAAAAATAGGTGCACCTTGTTGCTATGAGTGGTCCAACTAATTCTTTTTATGTTATCTCAGACCATATAGTCTCATCCCTATATAGCTTTCGGATCTCTCTCATTCGGGTGCGTTCTATTCACTCCTGTATCCCTTTGGCCTTGTGGTACTCGGAGAGTCGCACCTTGATCGTGTCATCACACCGACGAACACTCCTAATTAACCCTCGTCGTAACTCGGGATATCACAGATCAATTGTTTGGTAGAGGTGACAATTGATCGTTTGCTTTATCTGAGCAAAATCAAGCTACAATCGATCGATCGAATTGAATGACAATCGATCGATCATGTTATTTGAAATATTAGTGCAACGATCGATCAATTGCTTTGAAGCAAAATCGATCTTTCATCCCAAAATCAATGATTGATCATTTACGTTCTCTGTTTCTTTTGACAGGTTTTACGAATTTGCTCGTAACTTTACACTTCGGTATCGGATTTGTGTGATCTTGGTGTTTATGTATAGCTATTGATTTTTTTTTTTTATAATGGTATAGAAAACTCTTTAGTTGGACTTATATGGTGGAAATTATTATGCTCATAAGATCTCCATAGTGACTCATTTTATGTTATTTCTCTCGCAACAATGCCAAATGTAATCTTTTGGTCCGTGATACTACAAAATCCATATTTTATACTCTTTTAGTTTTTTTATTCATAAATATCTGTTTACACATCAAAAAATACAAAAAACCAATATAAAAACCAAAAACGTTCTAGAATATCTATAAACGTGTAAAACCATGTGAAATATGCGAGACACGTATATCAAAACATTACATAAAATATATGTAATAAAAAATAAAATGATATATATTATAAAAGTATAATTTCTTTTAAAATATTTGCAAGCTAAATGATTTTTAGCATTTTTACTGAAGAACTTCCTTTTTTAATTTAGAGATAGTCAACGAAATGGATAAAATGTAGGGTATCAAAATGGGCTACTTAATCCATGTAATAATCCCAAACTCGTTGAGGTTAGTGGATTTAATAGGTTGGATTAATTTAAACCAATAATAATATCTTCAAAATCAAATTGATTGGATTAATCCATTAATCCATTTAAATTTAATTGACTATTTATTTTAATTGATTGATTAGTTAACATATTCAGATTTGATTCGTTTAAATTCAGATTCGTTTGTGGGAAAAAAAATCAGATTCATTTTTTACAAAATATTTCGTTCGATTTGAACTAGATTCAAATTCTGCTTTTACATGAGATTCCGATCGATTCAAATTTGGACATATTATTCGTGAACGTATTGAGTAATACAATAGAGAAATAAAGATTGTAAATATTTAAGTGGACGATCGTATTGCTCGTATTTATGGTCTTGATGAAGTAATGACAGGTGAATTAGTAGAATTTGAAGATGTAGAATTATGAACGTTTCGAATTCGATTCGAATTCGGTTTTTACATATGATTCCGTTCGATTCGTATTCGATTTGAATTCGATTATTATATAAGATTTTGTTCGATTCAGATTTAATTTGAATTCATACATAGAATTATGTTTGATTGGAATTTGAGTTCGATTTTTAATATAATTTCATTTCGATTCGAATTCGATTGTTTTATATTCAAATTATTTAGTTTAGTTGTATAATGAGTTTGTTGTGTAAACTCATTAAACTCATAATCCAATAACTCAAATAGATTAAACTTATATAATTCATTTGATTAAATTAATCTAAATAAATCTAATAATAAATTATTAACCTAAATGACATCTCTAGGCAAATGTGTCACGTGGACGTGGAATAAGTGAACAAATGACAGAATTCCCCGTCTTATCACAAATCCCACAAGCATTTGTCTCGCTTACTATATTGGGTTACAGGTCGGCGGTCCTTGTCTTTCAATTGCCTTCCTCTTGCCATTTAAAGTTTGCTCTTGACGTTAATTTTCCAATTTTTCTTTTTCAAAAATGTTATTTATTAATCAATCTTAACGGAATATGATCTTGATTTTCATTTAAAAAAATTTAATTTCATAATAAAAAGACAAAAATAGCTACTAAACTGGGAGCTTTGATAATTACTATTATTATTATTATTATTATAGAAATAGCAACACCTTTAGTCATTACTATAAGGAGACGTACAAAATTGTCCGATACATTAGAATTATTTTCGACCCCAAAAAGCACATATATATGATGACGTGGTAGTTACCAAGACGATACATTATATTTATTTTTAACTGTTATATAATTTCTCTCGTCGATTTCTGTAATTCCATCATATTGTTATATGCGGTATTTAAATCAAAATTAATTAGTATTAGTCTTTTACATTTGAATCCCATTTTGTAAAATACCTCCAAAGAGAAATAACGTGACTTGGATCCAAATTCAGAAATGTTATATTTAGACATATTCCTTTTTTTTTAAAATCTTTGTTCATTCGAACAAACTAATCCACGATACGATAATGATGACGCATTCATTACATACGGTTTGGCTCATATCATTATCTCCTCGAACACTAAAGCTAAAAGAACCAAACAAATCGCGACAGATTTCTTATAAAATTTGGAAAAGAAATAAATTATAAAAGAGTACAATTTTGGACCGTCACATTCATCATCTCACACTTCAACAAATCTATTTAACGACAAACAATTTGTGCTCTCGAATGCACAGAGTCGTCGTCGTCGTCTTCTTGAAACACAAAAACCATAAAGAGCCATGGTGGTGGTGACAGAACAACACAAACCCAACAAAACCCACATCTTGATCTTCCCATTTCCCGCGCAAGGACACATGATTCCACTCCTCGATTTCAGCCATCGCCTCGCCGTCCGAGGCGGCGGCTCCATCTCAATCACCGTCCTCGTCACCCCCGGCAACCTCCATTTCCTCCGCCGCCTCCTCTCCTCGACCGCCGGAGAAATCAACCCTCTCGTCCTGCCTTTTCCTTCTCACCCTTCGATCCCCAACGGTGTCGAGAACGTCAAGGACTTGCCTCCTTCAGGCTTCACCTCCATGATCCACGCGCTCCGAAACCTCCACGCACCGCTTCGATCATGGATCTCCGAACACCCATCTCCGCCGTCGGCGATCGTCTCCGACATCTTCCTCGGATGGACTCACCGACTTGGTCTCCGCCGATTCGTGTTCTCTCCCTCTGCCGCCATCACATGCTGTATCCTCAACCATCTCTGGCTCGAGATGCCCACCAGAGAAAAGCCCGGTGATGACAACGAGGTCCTTGAGTTCCGGAAAATCCCAACTTCCCCAAAATACCCTTGGTGGCAGGTCTCCACGATATACAGAGGGTATGTCGACGGAGACCCATTTTGGGAATTTATACGTGACACATTCAGGGACAACTGGGCGAGTTGGGGACTCGTCATAAACTCGTTCTCGGACATAGAAGGAGTCTACCTCGAGCACTTGAAACGAGACATGGCCTACGACCGTGTTTGGGCTGTTGGCCCAATTCTTCCTCCACCTGGCCACGACAACGACCGAGGTGGGCCCACCACGTTGCCAATCGATCACTTGATGACGTGGCTCGATGCACGTGATGACGGTCACGTGATATATGTATGCTTCGGGAGCCAAACAGTGTTAACAGAGGCTCAGGTTCGAGCGCTCGCGTCAGGGCTGGAGAAAAGTGGGACCCATTTCGTTTGGGTCATCAAGGACTCGGCATGTGACACGATCCCAGGAGGGTTTGAGGATCGTGTGACTGGAAGGGGCTTAGTGATCAGAGGATGGGCCCCACAAGTCGCGGTGCTCAACCATCGGGCTGTGGGGGCGTTCTTGACGCACTGCGGTTGGAATTCAGTGTTGGAGGCCGTGGCCTCGGGCGTTCTGATGCTGACATGGCCGATGCAAGCGGATCAATACACGGATGCGAACTTGGTTGTGGACCAGTTGGGAGTAGGGGTTCGTGTGTGCGAAGGGGCCGACTCGGTACCTGACTCGGACGAGTTAGCCAGAGTTCTGGCCGAGTCGACGACAGGAAAACGAGAGGAGAAGGAACGAGCCAAGAAGCTAAGTCGTGCTGCGTTGGATGCGGTAGGAGAAAGTGGGAGTTCAACTAAGGAGTTGGATGCGTTTATTGAACATGTTGTTAGTTTAGGACAAGCCAAATGATTTTATCAAATGCAAAATAATATGAAATAAGTTAGTTTCTTAATCATTGATTAGATATCATCAATTAGATTTATACAATTTATACCGCAAATATTTTATTATCTTTGACACACATTTGAATATTTGATATATACAATTTTCTCTAATGTTTGATTCTTCAAAAAAAAATGAATGAGAGAATCCACGAAAAAAATCAGGGAGTAACAAAATCTAATCTTGTAGTGTTTGGACAAACAAGATATCAAGAATTACGGAATAAAAACTTTTATTATTAATTCAACCAAATAATATATGTATATATATAGACATACATATAAAGTAAACCTGATCCCACTAGGAAACCATAAACTAATCCACTAACACTAATTTTGTGATGAAAATAATTTTATAATAGATAACTATAGATCTCCATAACTCTCCATGGTTTTTAATATTCTCTCGCAAGACTTGGGAATAAATTTCAGGTGATTAAAACCAGTCCTAGATCATGTTTTGTATGTTGGTTTCTTGTAATGTTTTTGTAATTCCTTCCGTAGCATGCATGTAATCTAGAAATCAGCCTCATCGCATTTTTGATGAAATTATGCGCTACAAAACCCATAACAGACCCAATATTGATACCAAGACCTGGTTATTTGTGTATCACCACGTCTATAAATATGCCTGCATGATTTTAATTGTTAAAGTTGCATATTATTCTAGATCTATGCACATCAATATTGATTTTTGCATGATGCATGGGTGATTTGGAGTCGAAAACAGTCTGACGGCGCATCGAAACATGGTGAAATCCTAAAATTTGTGATCCAAAAGAGTTTATCCAGAAACATCGAAATCAGATAGGTCCCGACCGAGACAAGACTAGCAAAGTGTTTGATCACGTCTATATAGGTGGATAAAGTGAACCAAGTAATAAAACTTAAACATAACGATTCCACAAAGATACAGATCACTGTAATATCATGTCGAACACATGATCTAGAGTAGTCAAGGTCAGGGTGCTTTCTAAATTCTAGCAAGAAAAGTTTTTTTTTTGTAATAAATAGAATGGTTCCCCGGACTAATTTCGGTCTGACTATATCCATCCTAGGTCTGAGACCAGCCTTTGTATATGAGTCATTTTGGTCCAGAAATTACATTCCTTCCCACCAGTGGAATCGAACGCAGAACTTTGAGGATGACTTATCACATCTCACCCACTGGGTCAACAACTGTTGGGTTCTAACAAGAAAAGTTATATGTTTGTGATTGTGATTGTGACAGTAATATGAAAACACTGTGGGTTCGAGATTTGTCTATACGTGTAGGGTAACTTTAAAAAATAAAGACGATTTTGATAATCTATTTCTATTTGAAAAACTAAGTATCTAACATGGGCACGTCTCTCCCGAGTAACTTATTCTCCTATTTAAATTGCTCTGCACATGGCTTTGAATCTTGTAGGAATTTGAGTTTTGAGTAGAATGAATCAGTCCTTGTTGCTCGAGGAATCGATTTGTGGTTTGAGGTTGGTGTTCTGGTCTCGGACAGAGATTACGCTGATCAATGTCTTCGTGATGATCTTCCTTAGCTTCCGTACAATACAAGTTCAGTTCAGTTTGCCGAAGGTATTCGGACTCCATGCGAGCTTGTATTAGGTACAAGTCCGAGTTCTTGGTTTTATCCTTTTTCATTTTCGGTTTATCCAATTTTCTGATAGGTTTCTACAAAATGATGATGATCAATATCTGATTCAGTCACTTCTATTTATTGCATTGATACATCCGTTGAAAAAGCATTGCAGATATAAGCAATGAGCTTGAAGAAGACTCTACAAAGGAGGCAACCAAGTCACGACAATGGGGCTGCGAACTTTGTGCGTTGAACTCCTCCAGACAAGACCTCCAAACTCCGGCCTCTTCTGCCGCAACTTTGTCCTGAAAGTGATCCTATACGACAGCTTCTGATGCTTCGAAGTAAAGTTCAGCATTTTCGGCTCAACGATTACGGATGCACCTTTGAAAGGCGAGACTACGACCTTGTAGCTTGAAACGTGAGGACCGACGTTGGTGACAGTTCTGTGAAGCGTTAAAGCACTGACATTTGTGTTTTCGGTGAAGACAGCCGAGATTGCGGCATAGTTCAGGTCTCCTGGACCCGAAAGAGTGATTCTGCAGATTCTGTTGGAATGTCAAGAGTAGAAACAGTTGGAA